TTGTTTTGTGTCGATTAATCTATATGTACATTTATTGATTGGTCAGATTGTTTTATTTAAGTGATATTTAATCCAAAAAGGGTTATTCTTTTCACTTTAGACCACTGTTCGCATATTAAATCTCTTAATTTCAGACAGATTTTGAAAAAGAACAAAGAATTTAAAGTTATTTTGGTGGTCAAGCTTTAAAAATAACTTTTAGTCTCTCTTAACACTTTCATTTTCTAAACTCTATACCAGGGGTACCAGATAAATTCTTTTACCAGGCCACTTCAGCGCCATCAAGTTTATAAATTGCTGCGAGGGGCTGGATTTGGCATGTAGGCCTTGAGTTTTACACATCAGTTTGATAATGTCTTTTTCTATGCTAGAACAAAGGTCTGATCTACAGATAGTTTTTGTTTTACAGTTACATTTTTGTTCTTCTAAAAAAATATATCTTCAGTGGGAAATCTTTTATTGCCATTAATAATTCAATGTTTCTTAGGTTCAGATTCGATTAGGCATCATTCACAAAGACATATCACATATAAATTAAGTATTCCTAACTAAGAGCAACCAATTAAATTTCAATGTTTCTGTTGCACACCCCCTGATTATCGTGGGGAGTCTATGGCATATTGTCCATGAGAGACCTCAGACCCTTACTATTAAAGCTATCAGGTGTTAATACTTCAACAGAGCCACGGGCCACAACTATGTACTATATAGTGCATGAAGATACTTTTAAATGAGCCCATATTTGTGTATAAAAAATTCTAATGGCAACATTTAAATTTCTGAGAGTGAATTTTCACTTTTAATCAGCATCAATCATCAAAAATAACCACAAATAAATTCTTAAAATATACAGAATATCTGTGTGATTTAATGCATTAAATGAATACATTAAATTTAATGCTTTGAATGCATTACTGGAATATAAATGAATTTCAACGAGTCTGCTTCACTGAGGTATAAAACTACTGTAGATGGTCTATAACAGGGGTAACAATTAAAAATCAGTGGAGTCCGAAAAAGTTCCGTAAAGGTCCAGAGACATTTTTAATTACAATCTGTTACTTTAAACAGAATTTAACACTGAAATAAAATGAGAATAAAATGAAGTAGAAAACAACAATCTTTCAGTTTGGTATATAGACATAGACATATATATATATATATATATATATATATATATATATATATATATATATATATATATATATATATATATATATATATATATATATATATATATATATATATATATATATAGACAATTGTATTTTTTTTCCCTTTCTTCCTTTTTTATGGCTTAATGAGAGCAGTGGGCTTTATGCCGCCCTGCACGTTTTATTAACCTGGGTTTGAATGGTGACAAAGCCATTCTCAAGCACATATCAAGGTGCTCATTCTTGAGCCTGGATCAATATTTATTTTTGATTAAGTTCATGGTGGAGAATCCTGCTTCACAGCAGTAGGTTGAACCAAACAAGTCAAAATGTGCAGGGTCATCTTTGAGCACACCATTTCACCTTTTTTTTCACCAGTTCACCACAGTTCTTCCAGCAGTCCACACTTTCTTTGCTCTCTTTTTCTCATTGTCTTCTCCTTCTTTCCCATCGCCCGGCTTGCCACAGGTGTGCCTGCTGTGTCTAAAAGCAGCAGTGAGCCAGAGTGACACAGCTCATTGGCTAATTTGTATCATTTGTAGCCTGGTCCTGGACACTCCAGACTCTTTACCATACAAATAGGAGAAGCAGCGCAAGTGAATTTATACAATGTCATCGGACAACAAGCAGTAATTTATAAATGTTTTCAATCAGGTTGAGTCTGGATTAACCAGCAGGTGGTCCTGGTCCGCTAATCTGTGACCTCTGGTCTATTAAGATTCGTTTCACTCAGCAGGATGACTTATATTGTTTTAAGCAGATATGTATACTGTTAATGCAAAACAATTCAAACGGTTGCTGTTTATATTTGTGACATTTTGTGAACTTTATCGCTTAAAAAAGCTTTTGGTCATTAAAACCTTTTTGAACAGAAAAATGTTCACCAATGTAACTTAGTTATTCAGAGAACCTAAAAATCCTGTCTGAAAATCAAACAATTGATGTCTCTGTATACCAGAAAACTTTAATTATTGTTAAGGAGACAGATTCACTGAATTGTTTTGCAACAATTTTGATTTGTGTCTTTGATTGATCATTCTCAATTATTTACCGATTGTGGAAAAGTGGAAAAGTTTGTTTTTCTTAATAAGGTAATGACACTTAAGCCTTTAGTGTTTTCATTTTGAGCACTGTGTTTTTATCTCTGACATTCATCCAATAAAAGAATAATGACACTGGGTGTGCTTGAAGAAGTATAATCTTGTGGAATCAATTACTTACAAACTCTAGGATTTTCATTCTTTAGAACTGAAATACAAATGACTTCTGTGAAAAGGATTTATTTTTAAAAATCCGTCAATGTCAGTTCTTTTGTATTTATTTACATATTTTCCAGAGTACATGAAAGCATCATTCAAATGCACTTTATAAAGAAACAAGCATTTGTGAGCAATAGGGGGAGAGCTAACAATATACCTTTTCCATCTGTTTCGTCCTAGAGCTTTAGTCATGGGATCAACAGTATCTATACTGCAAGATAATAACGTCATTTTCACATGTAGAACAAAGGCACAAATAACGCTGATATAGTTGTTGAAAATACTTCACATCTGGCTAAAAGTTTGACATGCTTACTGTACTTACATCTGTCTTAAAGTACAGTAAAGATTTTACAGACAGAAACACAGCAGTGGGAATTCTTTAAAAATTATTACATTAATCAACCAGGAAAAGGTCAAATGAGGAGAAGTTATTTCCTTGAAGGGACCATCACCCACTGTTGTCTCTTGTTTCAATGTAGATAAACTATAAATCTATTTATTCACACTCAGCAAAGTGTTATGTAATAAAAGTCGTATTCAAATCCTTATAGCATTTAATTTAACATACTGTACTAGACATTCTTTAATGCATTTAACTTCCTTAGCATAAATGAAGGACCATGTTTACATGTATATAGACAGTAGTTTAAAAGAAACTGACAAAGTAAAAAGTGGAAAAGAAACCTTAAATTAACGACAACAACAAAAAGTACCGAACCAAAAAAAAACATTTCAGTGAAATTTCTGTTTTGAGTAACAGGGAATTTTGAAAATATACTTTATGTTTAATTTGTTAATATCATAATGCTGGAGGTTAATTTCAGCAAATTCTGTTTCCCTGACACTGAAGAGGTAACTCGCCCACTTAAGTTTGTGTAACAGGTTTGTGTGACAGAAATAATTTTTTTCTCCTTCCACCTAAAGAAGAATTGACTAAATTCAAAAATACTTTGTTACTCTCAACACTACGCCGTAGTTGAATCATTTATATAGCAGCCTGTGCAGAATATGAGTTTGATATCAAATCAGGAAGAGAGGGGATTTTAGGGGATAATTTGTTTAATTTTTTTTTTATATACCTATGCCACTAGAACTGCATTGCAAAAACTTGAACTCTAAATAAGTTATTTTTCCTTAAAATAAGTGTGTTTTTTTAACTTGAAGAGGCAAATGAGACACTTTGCCAATAGAAGAAGGCAACTTACATTTAAACTAAGAAAAAAACAATTGCACTTTCTTATTAAAAGGGCATATTAAGTAGTTATTGTATTTAAAGAGTAAAAATACTAATTTCATTGGTAACTCATCTTATCTACCTACTCAAATTAAGGGTAAATACACTTAATGTAAGAAATTTTTACTTATTTTTCTACATTGTTTCTGCTGTGTGATAGGGTAATGGTGTATCGAAAAAGATCATGTTCTTTCCACTTGATTTGGATTTCATTGATGTGGAAAAGACTGAAAGTCCACCGAGATGCAAAAAATGAAAGATAAGATTGCACTTTTCCAACTCACATCCTAATATTCCTTTGTTTTCAACTTCCTTTAGAATCACCAGGCCATGAGCCTTTTCTTGATAACAATCTGCTTGATGTAAACACCTAACACCTGCATACAATCACTAACACTCACAGATTCACAAGACACACACACACATCCACACACAGAGTCTACTGCACATTTAGGGTGCGAGCGGACACTCCATGGTGCCAGTCTCTCAGCTCGTTGTATTTGGGTCCAACCACAAATCGAGTGGTGCTCTTGTTCACTCTGCCATCCGAAAAAGACAACAATAAAAGGAGAGAAAGAAGAGAAGAAAGCAAAAGAAGAATCATGAAAGTGGAATAAAGGAGCCTAACCATTCTAAAGAAAATTACAAGGAGATGGATTAGGACATACGCCGGAAACAAGGCAAGACAGTTATCAACAAAAGCTTACGATAGGAAAGAAACATTTAGAGGCAGAGAAGATGAACATGAACATGGCCAAGCATGTAACCAGAATAATTAAAGATATTAAGAAAACATAGAACTATTAGTCAGCCAAAAAATATGTTTTATGGTTAATGCCACACAGCGGAAAACCCGTTGAGAATTTAAAGAAATGCTTGCAGTAATTTACCCTGGCCAACCAACAAGGGCATGGAGAGTCAACAGATCATTTAATATGACAACACAACCATGGCAGAGTCATGGTTTTCAACCACATGTGTAAGAAAAACCATGCAGCACACAAAGGAAAATTCTTGAAGGATTTCAGATCCACTTCACAAGAAGCAAAGCCCAGATAATGCACACTTTGATTGGAAAGCACATTAATTAGGACAAATCTGATATCAATATAAACAAAGATAAAATAAAGCATACAAAGTGTCACGCTTCAAATTATTTGAAAATACTGTTTGAATGCGGATTTGGGTTTGGACTCGGGATCAGATGTGACTTGGCTGTGTACCCATTAGGAATTAGGCAACGTAGACATTACACTAAGCGTCACTTTAAACCAACAGGTGATCAACCTTTTATACATAAAAAAAAATCAAGAGAAATTCTAACTTTTTTTTTTCTTCAGATGTACTTACTTTGTCTTCTTTGATGTATCAGCTTCCTCATTTTGAGCTAGAAGGCAAACAATTCACCTTAAATAACTATTCTCTAAATTTCAGAACACATGGTGAATTTAGTCTTTGAGTTTGTTTCCTACCGTTCTCTGTGCCTGTGATCTGAGCCAGAATCCTAAAAGATCTGGACTGGGTGGTTCCTGTGCGTGGGCGCCAATCCTCTGTGTCCTCCATTATACGCTTTCTGCTGGCATCAGCGTGAGAGGGAATATGGTAAAAGTGGATGTCTGTGTCCACAACATGTTTCCGGGGAACTCTGAGGAAGGAGAGGTACATGACAGATGGATCAGACCAGAAAGCATCGCTTTATCTTGATTCATATCTTAATTGTTGCAGTTTTTGCAGGTTTGTTACTTAAATATTATCAAGCACTCCATAATGAGATAAAATGAGTAAGTTAGATGACTAAATGAGATGAAACTGCACTAATTAGACTCTGGGCCACACCACACTATGTTAAATAGTGGGAGAATCTAAATCAGCATGTTACCTTGGTAGCAGCTGATGGGGTTTTCTTGGAAATCAAGATGGAGGACATTGCAAGATAGGGTTAAATTAAAGAAAGGGGACTTTAAAACAGCTGCATTCTAATATTTTAAGCAAAACCAAACAAATTTTGTTAAGACTTACTTCAAAACATTTTGAGGACCACTAATGGTGCAAAGAAAAAGGAAAAGGAAATACAAAATTATTAAATTATGGGGATTTTTTTTTTTGGGTGTAAACATTAAAAAGGAACCAACAGAGAAGTAAAAAGGCATGATATGATATGATCTACTCCTGATAAGAACAGCAAAAATGAAAAAAAAAAAAAAAACATTGTTGTAAAGCAGCAACATTTAGGTCTGACTATCAACCACATGGTGGTGCTTTTGAGCTGTTTAAGTCCACATGTATGGAACTGCAATTCAGTTTCAGAGGGAGACTTTTTCAGCTTTGGTGCAAAGCAAACTAAAATACAAACATGTTCTGTGTTTGCTAATGTGTATGTACAGTTAAAGTCATGCTTGGCAACAAGCTAGTGATATGTCATAAACTCTGTCAGTAAATCAGCTCCCAGAAAAAAAATGACACATTGACACCCACCAAGGCACTATTTTCCATGGTCTTGTCTTGATCAATATTTTATAAATGTACAACCCCTTACTATCTGCCTGCTTAATTTATGAGTCTCAACACTTTCCTGTTACAGTAGCAGCAATATATGCTAGGCTACTAACGTTTATTAACAGAGTACAGATGGCAATGCTGCATTAAGAAAATGGAGCATGCTAAAGATTTACACCCTGCCTGAATTACTGCAGGTTCTGCATTTTGTTTGCCCTGAGTGAATGGAAAATTTAACATACATCCATTGTAATAAATGTTATTATTATTTTATGTGAATGGGTACAGCTGTGGAAAACATATTTTTGTACATGTACTGTTAAATTAAATACATGTTGTATTAAATTAAAACAAAAATAAATATTGAATAACAAATAAAATAAAATGTTTATGTATCTCTGCTTCTTTCTGTATCTCTGCTTCTGTCTCCTTGGTACCAGTTGGCCTCAAGAGATGGCCACTCACACTAAGCCTGGTTCTGCTGGAGGTTTCTTCCTGTTAAACAGAAGGTTTTTTTTTCTCTCCACTGTCGCTATAATAAGAATAAATAAATAATATATTACAAACAACTAGCAAATTGAGGGAGCAGCATTGCATGTGTTACACATGATCTCAAAGTGTGGCTGTTGAATGCGCTAATGAATCGGATGCATGCACATATCGTCCCATGCTGATGCAGGAAAAAACAATAATGTCAGCCTAAGATATTGGCCGACTAATGCATCGGTCTGTCTCTAGCTTGGACTTAATAATACTTATACTAATAATGATGACTTTAAAGGGGCTGCTGTTGTTACCTCTGCTAAGGAGTTTCTTTTTTTGTTTAGGAGAGTTTGTGTGTGTCTGTCTGTGTGTCTGTACATCTGTGTACAGGATAACTTGAAAAGATATAAATTAATTCCAAGGAACAATCCATTAAGTTTTGGTGATGAGCCAGATCACCATCTGGATCCAAGAATTTTTTATGAAAGATTCTGTGAATCCATGTATTTACTTAAGGTGGAAGTCACAATTGGTCTGAGGAAAAGAAATACTTTGCGGAGGTTTTAGCTCTCTTAGTGCATTTCTACTTACTTTTACAAGTATGTGAACTGCAATGCAAATCTTTCACTGCAGATAATAAAAGATTTTGGAAAGATAAACCCAACTTAACCCAAATTAACCATATTATTAATGAATATGCATTAAGACGACTGTACACTTTTTAAATGCTAAAGAAAGAAGGTTCCCATTTCTGATTTTAATGTAATTTAAAAGTTAACTTATGTAGCAGTAACTGCAAAAGGACTTTGATTTATGCACTGGACATGCAGATAAGCAACAGCAGAGTGATTTGGGTGAAGCTTAGAGAAATATGTTTATTATCAAAAGCTCATTATCCTATCTGTTGAACCAAACCTGAAAATAACCCAAAACAAAAATAGAAAAACACTAAAGTCACTAACGAAAAAAGAATACCAAACTGTAATAGTGAAAAGAAAAAGATGATAGTAGGAGTGAAATAAAGTTTGCAAAGACTGTGAGATTCAAAAGTATCAGTTGAAAACACCAGACCAAACACTCAACATGCCTCAGACACTAACTTTGTGACTGGACGAGACGTGTTCTGCAAAGCAGAGAAACAAGGATTGAAATGAATAGAAAACACAGATACATGAAGGTGAAACAGTCATTATCAGTTTTAGCACTAAAATATTTTGTTGATAACTCCCTTCTGAAACAAATCCTACATGGCATGCAAACAAGCAGGCAAGCAAAGGGAAAATTATATCAGCATGCTGTTCTAAACACCAGTTTGTTTATGTCAGTCCAGCAACATATAAAGAGGACTAATCCACAGACTAGAGTGAATGTCCTATGATTAAATAGGAAAAGAATAGCAGAAAAATCCTCTGGGGAATAATTTTAATATTGAAAACCAACACTAATTATCTTAGGTATTGATTTGTTAAAATACATTCTGCCCTTAAAATGAAAACTAACTAAATCAAAGACCTAGAGCACACTTTTTTGCAAGATGACTGAAAAAGAGCAAAGAAACAGATGTACAAACAGATGGCAAAGAAAGATCAGGTTTAAATTTCAGCTTTGGTCATTTCGATGATTTAAAAGGGTAATTAAAGTCATTTGTCAAATTAAGCAAAGTGGAATGCAGGATCTCACCCCCTCAACCCCGCCCCCCTTTTAGCTATATGGGGTAAGCTTACAGTACATTTTGTAGCTGCTTTGTTCAGAAAAAGACAGCTCCTTGATCCAAAACTTACAGATCTCTGTTAGAAACAGTCTAGTGGAATACATTCTTGATGAAGCTTAGCATAAATATAACTCTACATGGATTTTAAACTGGAATCTTTGTAGACAGAACGATTTGACAGATAATAGCCCTCAGCTTAAGCTCCCTACTGTATACAGGCTATATATATCCAGCTTAAATATATAACAGCATAGTTATATTCACTATGCTCCGAGAAATGGGGGAGCAGGCATTTAAGAAGGCCACTAATTTCTCTCCTAAGACAGGAGAGTTGGATAATAATGAGATTTATGTTGACATAGAGAGCAACAGGAAGGATAGTGGAGGGAAAATGAAATCTAATGATTACAAACAGACCCAGTAAAAAAAGGGTACAGAAATATAATGACTGTATTATCTGAAGGTGGATCTATGCTTATCTTTATTATTAAGTTGTTACCTTAGAATGCTTCAACTCTGCTGTAGAACCTCTGAAAAATCGAAAACTATTTGGAGTTAAGATGAATAAATGGCACCCATTTCTCTAATGCAACCCTTAACAACCATACCCGACCAGGATAGTAAAAGAGAGAGCTATAAATGTATGGAAACATGAAGCGTTGTATAATAACCTATTTTTGTAAAATGGCACTTTCCTTTTCACTTTTATACATGAGGCAATTCAAGCTCGTTTTTCATGCAATTTGTGTGAAATGATTACCCAAATGAGCATCAAGCAAATGAATGGTAATTGCTCTCTGTCCCAAATGTTGGCACAGAGTAGAAAAAAAGGCTTTTGCTTACAAAGCTCCAACTACAGCAACCATTTGGCAATATGTTTTGCATCTTGAAAGCTTGATGTGATTTTCAAGCTAGATTGATGTTCTTAGAGATACCTTCTTCAGGGTTTTTAATTCTGTCTGATGTGAGTTTCAACTGTTTTCATTTTTCCAATTAGTCCTTGCAGTTTTGTTTCTTTATAATGTTTTACACATGATGTTTTTTAAAATGCTTTAAATGTTTTTGTTTATTTATGTTTTCCATTTTTTTTATTTCCATCAAAGGTGACTTTCTAGAATTTATGTGATACAATTAGGAAGGTAACTAAGCGGAGAGTCTAAGTCCTAGGAAGAAAGCTATAGAAAATGGGGTCAAGAATGGAGGCATTCATTTGATTAGTTAGCAAGTCTACCACTCACCCGTTGAACTGCAGTAAGGCTCCTCCCTGACTCTCCAACAGGCCCCGCCTTTGCCCCATTGCCACCTCACACGCATTCTCAGTGGAGTAGAGGTTGATTGGTGTGTTATACACTGATGGCTGAGGTGGGACCAGCACAGGGGGGGAGGAGGAAGAGGATGCAGAGGATGGGTAAGAGACCAAAGGAGGAGAAGGGGGATGAGGGTGGGGGGAACTAACGAGGGATGAGGCAGGAGTGAAGGCAGAGGATGGGGAGGGGATGACGGTGGTGAAAGGTGACTGTAAAGGAGAATATGCGCCCTCAGATCTGAAACACCCATAAGGTTTGGGGGGCTTGTTCTGTAGGGCAAAGCACTGAGACTGTGGACGTTGTGGAACAGATGGATGGGTGATGGCTACTGGTTTTATGAGGTCTGTTCGGTTGTCCTACCAACATAACAGAAGAACATGCAAATACACACACACACACAAAAAATTAATACAAAGCTAAAACACTGATGGTTCCCATATTTGCTTGACCAATTAAAAAAAATAGCATGACGTTCTGTTTTAATATTGTATTCATATTGGCTGAATAAAATTCTTATGCATGGGTTTTAGGAAACAATCAGTGTTCATCAATGTTGATCAACCATGGTGTGCATCAAATAAAAATGTTGATGAGTAAGAACATGCAACAGAAACTGTGTATGGCATTGTTTCAGAAGGGAAATGGTCTTAAAGACAGATTCAAGGCACTATATTCAACTCAATCATTTTAAAACAGTTAGTTATACTGTATAAATGAATATTCCCTTCCTTTATAATAACAAATAACAGAAAATCTGTGCTCTAAATAAATAGTACAGTAGACAAATGTCACATATTTTTCTCAAAACTTTTTTATGAATCACATTGTGCACTTGTGTATTGGATTTTTTTAATTTTTGCAAAATAATTGTACATTACCTTTGGTGCCACTGGAGGAGGTTTAGCAACGCTGGACCTGGAAACGAAGGAGAAAGAAAGAAGAAAGTATGTGGACTGCATTTCCTTTCCTGTAAATTTTTTTTTTTTTTTTTTACCTCTGTGGGTAAAATTTCCCATACTCTATCAAAGTATTCAGTGACATCTATGGTAATCACAATGTAGAGGGTTCAGATGTTATTGGAGGTTTCAAACAAAGAAATAAAGAAATGTGGTTGCAGTGAATCACAACAGAACCTGAGCTCTGAGTGTTACAACCAATGTGAAAAGGTTTCTGTCATCAGCTCTGACAGAATCCAAACGGCTCTGGCTCAGTCTGCGTGTCAAAGAAGGAAACATCAGTTGTAAGAGCGAAAAAAAGTAGTACGTTTTTTGAAACAGCTGTTTTTATTCAGCGGCCTGTATCAGTCTGATAATCTATAGTTTATGCTTGTTTACCCGGGTCAACCAGAAATGTTCTTTTAGCAATATTCTGGTAGACACAACTATTACAGCATTATTATTTTAAAGATTTAGAAAATACTCCTTATATTTATGTGAATTTTATCATTTTAATTCATAGAAATTAAGGCTTTGCTGTAATATTTGATTAGAATTGTAATTATCATATGGTAAAACTAATTTAGACAACAGCAGTTAGGACTTAAATCTAAAGATTCCAACATCACCAGCAACATGTAGCAAAATGTAAACAAATGCACACATATACAAAAATTCCAAAAATTGAATAATCACAGAAGAAAAATGTATTTATATAAATTAAGAGACTAAGTAAACTGAACTGTAAGTGAAGACATATAAGGTTCAGCTGCCTTGCGGTTCATTTAGTGCACCCTCTCTGGAACTGTCCTCAGGGAGTTCTGTGTCCTTCAGCCTTGTAAATTTGAACCAAGACTTTAACTGTGCTTAAGAACACATTAGTCTACAGATACAGATACTGGTTTGGCCTTTTCTGCTCGACTCCTGTTTCCCGCTTGTTTGCCAGCAGTTAACCGATACTGTGAAAATGTTCCTTACACATGAGCTGAGGGTGTATTAAGTGTTGTTTTCAAAGAAGCGGACTAGAAAGGTCAGATTAAAAGCAACTTTTAAATTCAATCAATTAAAGTTTGTATTTGAACTCAGTTCATTTTTAAAGTTATTGAAGGTAATAATCAGGAACTGATGATCAAAGATTATGATTTCCTCTGTAATGTACTTCATAGAAAAAAAAAAATCCTTTCCTTATGCTTTGATGAGCTCCATTAACTCATTGTGAAAAACAGCTAATCCCAGGCTGTTCTCTACAACCAGTCTGTTCCTCGGCCTGGTTTTCATGTGTGTCAAAGCTGAAGGTGAACTCAGAACTCAGAAGAAAAACTTACTTTTTGGTTTAAAAAACTTTTTCAATTAGCTCCTCAGAAAGCAAAACAGATCCCAGCCCTATTTTATTTTACCACCTAATAAATAGAATATTTTCATGTACACTTTGCTATCCACTTGCAGACCACTTGAGTTACGAGTACCCCCGGTTGGAAATCCCTCCTGTATAGCACTATATTTTGTTGCAATTGCAACTTTAATTGTTTTGGGTTATACCTCTATTACGTATAAACATCTAGCCTCAAGCTTCAGCACACTTTTGCTTATAAAGTTGCTCCGGCTCAGTCGGATAGGTTGCTAAATGGTGCCTCTACCAGGTTTTCCCACAACATTTCCCAAAATTTAATTCTATCTCTACTCCCATGAAATTACAACAGCTAGCCTGTTGCTGAACAGTTTCCCCTGCAGGATACTATTTCTATTATCTTTGATCTGAGTAAATATTTGTCTGTACGAACAGCTACTTTTACATCAGATTCGTAAGACTTTTTTTTATCAACTATGGCGTCCTCTGAACAAAGCTACTACTTTGGGATTTCTCGTAGTTTCGTTCAGTAATTTTAAAGACTTTTAAAAAAAATATATTTCTGACATACAACAGGTGATCCCCGTAAAAACAAAAAAGAAACATTTGACAACGAGCCAGAATGCAGTTCAAAAATATGTAAGACAAAATCAGTAAAAAGCAGGTCCCTCATCCCTTGTAGTTAGAGGAATGTACAGACTTTTAAAAATTTTTAGTTGAAAAGAACAAAAAAAAAGAAGAAATAATGATATCAAAGTGAAATGAACTTGTAGTAATTTTACACAATGTTTTAAAAGTTAAAGGGGTGTTACTATATTAATGGGACAGTGAGGAATATGCCTTATAGCCTACAGTAAAATTGGAAAAATACAGTGCTTAAAAAATACATTCCTGAATGACAGAACACACCCCATATTTTGTATCACCTCTCAAAGTCTGCGTCATCCTTTATCCTTGCAAGTTTCCATGGACACACAATGCTGTAAATAGTCTACCTAGTACTCAGTTTATGTGTGGACAGCTCTCAGTTGCACAACTTGTGGCATGGAAACATGTCTGGCACATAAGGCATGAAGGGGAAGACTGGGGTATCAAGTGGGGATCATAGATACAACCCTGGAATCCCAGTGGACTTTGCCTCGATTACGAAGCAGCTATAACAGGAAATAGCAGCATGGAAATAAGTTGCTGTCATATACCAAAGTGGAGGAGGATTTTGGACTAGATTATAGTTTTATCACTAATGCCTTTCCTTGCCTCTAGGACTGCGGATCAATGGTAAAGAAGTTAAGTCAGATGTGATGCAAAAAATGATGCAAGTTAGTTTAGAAATGTTTAACATATCTGAAAATGTGTGTAAAAAAATATTTCATTTGTAGAGTATGCTGATTATCTATTTTCTTTTTGACCAATACAGATCTTTGTATAGATTTTTTTTATTCAAAAACATTATATGATATAGTTGGAAATATTAATAGAAAGAAAATGTTTTAATTTAAATGCATACATATTTCTATTTAACTTTTTTCAGCAGCTGACACTCTCAAGATTATATTAACATGTAAAACAACCGTTACATGCAAAACTAAAAACACTAATGGCCCACACCAAGTTTCTCTTCCAGTTCCAGTACGAGACTGGCAGACCTTTTTCGATGTATGGAAAATAAACGCTTAATGCCCCTATAAAACTTATTTCCAAAAACTTGACTCAGCCTTTCATTAAAACTTTTGACAGTGAGTGTTTTTTTATTTATTTATTTTCATTTTACAAGTTTGGCTTCAAAATGCTATAGGTCTAAGATAAGTTTGCTAGGATAACTACTGGTGTGTTTTTCTGAGAGAAATGAAAATCAATGTTTTGACCAACATCTTTTTTTTGGCTTAATACTGTTGTCTAATTTACTAGCGTATGCTTTCCCACAAACACATTTAATGGTTGTTTAAATAATACCGAAATATATTTGTACTCTATATATGTTTATATATATATATATATATATATATATATATATATATATATATATATATATACACCACAAAAGCAGTTTCACAGGGAACCTCTAGGTACTAGCAGGTACCTCCTCTGTCAGAAGAGACTAGGTGGTTAATAAAATCTGGAGGGGTTGAGAAGCAGGTTGAGGATTTATCCGCCCTGCGCTGACACATCCTAAACCAAACATTGCTTCTTTTGGAAGACAAGCAATATTTGTCCTGGGGTTTCTTGGTTGAAAAAAAAAATGGCAGGAGTAGTGGCAATTTTGGACATGTGAATGCAACTCATATGGATAAATATATATTAATATTGTTTTATTAAACATAAAACATTAAAAAGAACAACTTTAAATATTCAAAAAAAAAAAAAAATCGATGAAGGCATGTTTAGATTAAACAATGCATTTTAGAGTGGAAAAAAAATATGCTGATAAATGTTAGGAGTAATCTGTCAAAGGGCAACAATTCATTATGCCCTCCAGCTAATCATGTACTTATCTATAACTTATTTATATGCATAATTAGGTAAACAAGACAAAAAATCATTAAACGCAAACATTTGTCATGTATTTTCCCAGAAAATGAGTATGTGGACTTGTATTTTGAAAAAGTATTTAATAACGAAGTGTCCTGCTGTTCATATGACAGATTCCTTTAATCTAATGAATGCTAAAAAACCTGTATATTTGCATTCACACAAAAAACACATACGGTGACGTAGTGTGCTGGGTGTGGTGACAGTCATATGAGCCTTGAGAGGAAAGTCTTGGGAATGTTACTGGGTGGATGTAAAAATGCAGAGTATAAGGACCAATTTATTCACTACACAGCATCTGGTCTGCAAATGTGCTTAATGAATGCAAAGCTAAACAAAACGCACATTATGTTTCACTAAGTTTGTTTACTGCTATAAAAAAATTTGACCTTTCCTGCTTTGTGTTCCATTCTCTAAAACAATTACTCTTTTTTTTCTTGCTGGTCATTGACATTTGGGTTTGTATTACTATGATGTGTTTTGTTTTTTCTTTTATATTTTTTTCAAAAATGTCTTTAGTTTTGATTTTAAATAAGAACTGAAGACTTTATGATTAACTCTATAAAGCTGATAATGCATTGGAATATAGTTTAAAAAGGTTAAAATGGAACAAAATCCGGCCCCAATATTCCTATGTGATGTTTAATTGGTGAATTTCAATATACTGTAATGGGGAAAACAGAAACTTAACATACATCTCCTGAGATAATTAAATACAAACAACAGCAACATCTTTTTTTAAAGATTAAAATTAGAGTTATTTGAAGAATTTCTTTTAAATTAGTCCTGAAGCTCAATTTGTTTGTTATAAGGGAAAACCATCAAGGATCGTATCCTGGATTTAAAGTTTTTAAAGCTTTTTTTTTAATCAACGTGTAAGTGTCCTACAAATTCTAGAAAATTCCTTATCTGCTACCTCCCACTGTTATCTAGGCAAAAGCAACTGCAGGCTTTTCAATCAGAATGACATCACATTGACTTCTAAAGAAAACTCTGACACTGACCAGATGGAGGAAAAATCTAGGTTTGAACTGCATCAGCTTCCCTTCAATAACATAAACGAGGGGAAAGGTTGCATTTCAGTACCTATGAACTATCACAGT